ATATATGAAAGAACATATTACTGAAAACAGAAACATCAACATAATCTGCTCAATATAAATAAAAAAAAACACGGAAGATTAAGCATAACCAAAATGGTCTATTCCAATTAATTTCAAGTATTTACAAAACCTAACTTAAATTTCAATTAAAATTGAACAGCTTTTGCTTTATCTTTATCACCTTTGCATATCAAGAGAATAGTTTTTTTTTTTTTTTTGTCCACTCACCTAAAAAATGAAGTACAAACAAATTTGATGGAAAGTATCCATGAACACCAGTTTTCAAGCCTTGCCACAGACTATGAAAATATTTTGGACTAGACTTAAGTATTCTAACAATTGAATATGCAAATATATGAGCATGTCTAAAATCTGGCATATAAAATAATTTATTTTATCTTTACTCCATTAATCTTGCCATCAGCTGTGACTACAGTAACTTCCATTAAAACTAGTTAGAAATAAGTATCCTAGAGCATGATGTTGAAAGAAAACACAGCAACCATAAAGACCCTGGAAAAGTTAATCAGTTGGTGAGGCCAGTGAAACATGAATCTCTTTTTGTTAAAGGCACACTGTGGACTTTGTGACCCAAAGATTTGACACATATGAGTTATTTTAATTGATTCCTCAGGCCAATATACACCACTTGACACTATCAATGTTACGAGTGGGGCTCCCTTCTAGAAATAACGAATATGTATGTTGGGAGAAGACACACACCAAAAGAAAAAAAAAAAGAGAGAGAAAAGACACACTATCGCTGACCAGGTCATATGACAAGTAAAAATGTATCGCTTTACGGCAACAAGCTCTTATATTGTCATGGAGCTAAGGCTTTTTCTCCACAATTTTTTTGCCTGCTCGATTACTGGTCATGGCTGTAAAAAAAAAAAAGGCAGACATGTGCTGCTGAACCATGTTAACGGCTTTTTTCTACTGTCCTTCTCCATCATCTAGTAAAGCCCTTTCCTAGTTTGGAACTTTGGAAAAATCATGAGATAAATTATAAGTTATCTCATTTGAACTTTTATCGTATCTTTAACTTATCTGGACTAAGGTAAATCACTTTTTAAATTAATGAAGACTTTAAGAAATTTAGCACTTGAGTAAATATGAATAAAATATACATAAGCCAGCTTAAAATATTAATGGGGAGACTGAGTGTAGGGTAACATCAAATGGTGTATTTTCTCTATCCCTGGTGCTTTTTTGTGAGCTTTACTCCTTGTTTGCTCTAGTTTAGCCACCTGATTTAGTCCTAGTCTTAGTCCATGTTTTGCTGAATAATTATTGCTCACTCCAGTTTAATAATCCCCCGTTGGAATTTAGAACTACAATTAAACCAACACAAAAAAAGAACCATTGCATTTTATTTTTCAAAAGATCAGCCACCAAAGAAAAGACCTACCAAATTCAGAGAGGTCATGGTTTTGGTTGTGTTTAAGTTTTCTCTTTGAGTTTTTATTGGATTTATTTCCAATTTGTGTTATTCTAGTAATTTGTTGATTGTATTTGAGTTCTTAGGTATTTCTTTGCCCTCTGTTGCCCTCTTGTGTTAGTCTCCTTTCCCTAGCTACTTTCTAGACTCCTCTGTTCACACATGCTCTCAATCTGCTGGTTAGCCTGGTCTTTGTTTCTCTCTCGCATATATGCACCTCCCGCTCAGTCACTGTGGCTGATTTGTCATAATATCTTTGCCCTCTTGTTGTGAGTATTCCTGTTTTTTGTGGATTTTGTGGATTTATGTTTTTTGGATTTTTGCTTCTGTTACCCTTTCTTGTTATTAAATCTTCAAGAAACCACTTCAGCTTCAGTGTCTGCATTTGGGTCCTGTCAAACCTCCACCCCACCGTGACACAGAGAAGTGCTTTCTTGTGTCATGGTAAGTTTTTAGAGAATCTACAGCCTCCTAGATGGTCTGAATTGTTTTGCCGTTTCCCAATTGTAAAAAAACGAACAACTAATAACATAAAAAGTTAAGCTTTTTAATCATTAGCCTATTACCAAATATTCATATAGAGTGTAGTTTGCACGGGATTTGATTTCACTGTTCCTGTATTAGAGTCAGTAATCCAGTAATAACTTATAAGTTCCCCATTTTTTGGTTTACTTAAAGCTACAGTGTGTAATTTTTAGCGACATCTAACGTCCAGACTGCAGACCGCAGCAACATGATCATCTCCCTCCCACCGCTTCTCCCCCCCAACAGTACGGCGAGCGTTATGGGACAAAATGTCTTCCACGACGTCCGCATCACCTTCCTTCTCAAGCGATGAGGTTTGTTTACATAGATAATTTTACAGATAGTATTCTCAGGCATAATACTGCCATCTATTGTTCAGTTATTGTTCAGCACCGTCTCAGTTCATCTCTCTCAACTTGCCATAGTTACTTTCGAGCGTAATGGGCGATCTCGCAATCGCTAGTTTGTTGGCTCTGCGCTGCCGTAGCGCAAAGATGTCTGCCTCCATGGCTGCGAGACCCGCTCCTATGTAATTATAAATAACGAATTCTAAGGCAACGCAAATATTAAGGTTAAGAGGCTGAGCTCGTAGATGATGATAAATAACATAGTTATGTATAATATATTACATTTCTGACTGTATATCCCTGTAATTATTACACACTGTAGCTTTAAACAGTGTAGAACAATTAATAAACATAGTTGCGGAATTCTAAGTTTACAGTATATTTAAGATGCAAGTATTTTAGTAGGGCCCATTGTTCTTTACTCTCTGAAAAATGACTCCACATGTTGGAATAAATTTATTCTCTACTAATCACCAGAATATAGTGAGAATATGTCCACGTAACTACAGATCACTTATTGTTATTCAGTAACATTTACAGTGCAATAAAAATTCCACATTTTGCCACTTAATTTCAGTTAAATCCCCTAAAAACCTACAACCTATAGCTGCACCTACCCTTGAAGCCTTTCAATTGACCTTTGACGAGGGTTGGGTCTCCAAATTTTTTTTTTTCACTTTCGTGAAAATTTGGTAGCCCTGCATGATCTTCAAGCTTCATACTTTTAAAGGTAGCCAGAAGCTCCATGTGACTGAAAAGTGCTCCATGCTCCAATATACTATAAAAACAGACTTTATTTTATTCTTGTACCTTAACCCACCATGACCTGAATGCTGTATGTACTCTAATGTTCTATAATAAACCTATTTATGTTCTGTATAAACCCTATAAAAAATATCTGGATTTATATGGAGATTAATTTAGGGACAGGTGAATATATCATCTACTATATTTACTATCTGATTTGTAATATTTGCAATTGATTACAAAAATGTATCCTATATTCTAGTGTTCAGCTTTCATTTGGCTTTACTGTCTGATTTGTCATGGCTAGAAAATTACGTAGGAAATTATTCCAAGATTTAATTTATGCTTCAAATGAATCAGAAAGTAACTTTGTCAGTGATACAAGAAGCAAAACCCCTCCCCCCAGAGAAAGCACCAGAGAAATTAGTAACTTTTACCAAAGGGAATTTGTATGTGTTGGCAGTGTAGGGTGAATCACAAAATGCCAAAATGATGAAACGAAAGACTGCATGACTACTTACCACATTTAACACTGTGACTCTGGTCATGGCCCTGAGCTCATTGAAATAGGCTTTCACAGCTGAACTTTTAGGCTTATCACATTTGAAAGTAAATCTACCCTCCAAAAACCATTTTTTTGTGTGTAGCTTTAAGGGCTTATGGCATCTAGTTTTTAGACTTCCGGAGTATTTTTTTTTTTTCTAAAGTTCAAATTACATTTGTATGAGATAAATTGTAGCAACAAAGTAACTTTGAAAGTAAAATGTCAAGGCAAAAGACTCCATCCATATGTGTTGTTCTGTAGCTGAAAATAAATGAGCTAAACGAGTTAGCATTGAAAAGCAGTACATGATATATATATTTTTTGCCATGCATTCTTACAGCAATAGATTCATATGAATCAACTTTTTTTTTATTTCCTGAGCTGTTTACACTAACATAAACTCTGAAAATAAAAACCACTTTAGCGCCCCACATGAGCCATGCCTACCAATTATGTCTTTGTCTGTCAAGAGCAATAATTACTTGCAATTTTCACATATAAACAACCACCCACACACACATAAATACGATACCCATGACATCTGACTTATTCCCAACATTTTCCATTTCCTGCTGGTTTGCATTCAGGCATCAAGTTTAGGCTTAATGTGCCGACTGAACATCCCAAATGTGGATTAGATATGCATGAGGATATCTGCCTGGAAAGCTTCCCTTCCTAATGTGACATGACAAAAAGTGCTGCCAGCTTTGTATGTATGCATCACTGTTGGTTATTTTTGTTTGTTTGTTTATGTTTTTTTGTTTTTTAAGTTGACCTGACATGGGACCAGACTCTTCCAAAAAACTAATGCTTCAACATCTACTCTTCAGGAGATTTCTTTTTGACTATATTACATTAAAATACAACAATGCAACATGATGAAATATATATTTGTTGCTTTTTTCTGATTAAATTGTTAATAAAACTGGGAAATTAGTATTGTTAATGCAGAAGAATGCATTTAAATGTAATATCTTAATAAAAGCCTAAACCATTGCTGTGCAACATAAAAAATTAGTCCTTGTTTTTACAGGGCTCAATCAAATACTCACATTTAAGACTAAGGATAAAAAAAAAAATGCACATAATACAAATCAGAGTCTGGCACATAAGGGAGAAAAAAGAAAGAAAAAAAAAAGATTTGAAACGTCAATATAAATCAGTGGGTATGAATAAAATAACATCCCAGTGGTCTTCAGAGTTTAAAAGTAAACATTTTATTTTCCTTAAACATGTTCATGTTTATAACATAGAAATATATATCTTTTAATAAGTTATTGTTTCTAATAAAGATGAATAATTATCCTAGACAGTTTCCTCTGTTTATTCTCATCCACCATCCATCGAATATTTTTTTTTTCTCTTGGTACTGCAGCAGTGTAACAATTTGACTGACCTTTGAAGAAGCAGTCTTTGCTGTGCACCACGTAGATCCGTCTCCTCTCCAGACAGGCTGTGCGATAAACCTCGCAGTGGTTCTCATAAAACCTGCCGTCAGAGCCACACACAGGCACAAAGGAGGGCCGACATTTTTCCTGGCAAATGCACTCTGCGCGCCCAGTTTCTGCCATCAGCACACACTGTCGGCCTCGACCGCAGTAGGTCCGATGACAGGGATCCTCATCTGCATCAGAATGAGCTGGTAGAAAAAGACAATACAGGACTTATTTAAAAAATATATTATAACTTTCACCAAATTACAATTTTCTACAAATTTATGCATAAACAGAGTATATTTTTGAATTTCTGAAAACTTATAATACATATACTTTTGAAAGTTCATAATAGTTCAAATTCTTTCAACAACAGCTATGGCAAGGGATGCAGAGCAGCTTTGTAACTTTTTTTGCTTTAATCCTGTTTAGAGTAGTGAACGAATAAATATTTACCCTTGATCATTTTCTTTTATATTAACAAGAATTAAATAAATATTTTTGAAAAATTAGCTTTATTTTGTCATTGTTATATGATATTTTAGTACAGAAGGTGGAATTTATACCTTGAGCAGCAAAACCAGATGAACCATATATATTCAAGTACGTAGATATCACAGTTTTGCTTCAGTAATTCCAAATGCAACCGACAAATACTCTTTGGGCCTCTTAAAAAATTCAAAAGAAGGGGTACAAATTTTGCACGTGAAATACTTTTTTCAAAACTTGCAATAAGTTGGCATATAACAGGTGAACTACAACAATTGATAAGACGTGCAAACCAGTTTGCCTTTTCAAATGAGATAGAATGTTCTACTGCTGGTTTGAGAATGGCTATACATGAGGGATGAGGTTCAAAGCTATGTAGTCGGAGGTACTATCTATATAAAAAAAATAATAATAATAAAAAAAACTACTAAATAATATTTATAGAGCACTTTACTTAAGCAGCTTTTCTCTAAGTGGTAGGGAAGAAAGTAAACAAATAAACAAACCTAATTAAAGTTGATACAAAAAATAAATAAATATGATAAAACATGAGAAAGTTATCTCAGTCTGTTGGTTGCCCGCTCCCCACAGATTATATTTTAATTTTGAAACAATGTATACATGGTGTATAAGCCTAATGTTTTTAAATCCTTCTCAATACAAAAAAGAAAAGTTTTTAGCAAAACAGAAAGAAAAACCTATGTATAATTGGAGAGGAGCTTTTAGCATGTTTCCACTGATATCGATTTAAGAAAATGTATCTCTTCCGATGAGCCTCAAATCTCTTGCTGAGACATAATTACAGTGACAGTAATCTTTAGCTCTCTAATAAAAACGTTCAATCCAATCCAAACAGTTGACATGGCTTTCATGTATGATGAAAACATAGTTTCAAGCCTAAATGTGCTAGGAAATGTGAATTATTTTGTTTCTACTTGCTAATACTTGGTGCTTAAGAGTGAGTTACTGCATCCAACCAGTATGGCAACAAAGAAATCCCACCTCTTAACCTAAAGGATCCCTGATTGCATATAACATAATATCACTTGATTAAGCAACCTTCCACACTTCAAAATAAGTAATAAAAGAGTGCATATTGTGTGTGCTGATATCATATCCAGTCAATGTCCGGATTGGACACATTTAAGGCTGTAATGTCAGTATTTTATCCCAAAAAAGGCCCTGTAGGCACGCCCCAGCAAAACTACTCTTTAAATCCATGATGGACACACTGTAAAGCACCTTTTTGCAAATTCTAATATCATAAAATTATGTTATTTGTTGTTTAAATAATTCTTAATAAATATTAAACTACTTTCTAAGTTTTTACAAAATATTAAACTACTTTCTAAGTTTTTACAAAATACTCAAAGCTTAAAAATACTAGATTCAAGTGGAATAAAAATAAGTTGAATTGTACTCTATCAAAACAAAAGACGCAAGCAAGGAAATTAAAGAAATTTTATCTACTCAACACTTGTGTATTTTACTCCTGCATATCCTTTTAAAATTTCAGGCTCTTCTCTCTGTCATTCTTTTGTCTTTGATGTTAACAAGCTTAGCCTTTTTAAAAACCAGGTCAAACATAAAGGAGATAGATGAAACCGCTGGCTGCAGCAATCTGAACAAACAAAATGCAATACATAAAATGTATTAGTGTCAAAGAGAAAGCACGTGGAAAAAAAAAAAACTGCTTTTGACATTGTAACAAATGCAACTGCAGTATAGGACTGAAAAAAAGCTAATGTGTGCAACTGAATCTCATATTGCTGCTAGCAGCATTTCATTGTGGTTGAGAGACACTGAAAATGATGTTTAACTGCTTCGTAGGAATAAACATACCCCCCGGAGGGGCTTTGGGGGCATTGTGATCATCCTGTTTTAAGAATGGGTCGGTTAAGAAGCTGAGAAAGAGTGAGCTCTATTATTCCTCTGTGAAATAAAGCTTAAAAAGCATATTGGCTTAGCATGGAAAAAGCTCAGGCTGTGCTCCTATAATCAAACTGCTGAAAACAGAAATTGAATTTGCCTCAAGTATAATCATATCTCTACTCTCAGCATATTAAATAACTGAGATAATGTGCCGTCTTTGGAGGACAAAAGTATAGTAATTGCATGAAGGCATTCTCAGAGTTGGTGCATAGAGGTCAATGGCAGTACGCATATTTTACAAACCTGCTGTACCTGTCCCTTCATCTTTAAGGTAACTGGAAGCAGGGAAGTATTCAGTACATGGAAAAATATGAATTCCTATAAAACTGCATTTTTTCACATTATATGAACAACAAAAAGTAGAGAATAACTTTGCATGAATATTTTTTTCAATTTTATGAAATAACTAATCCCGAAAGGTTTGGCCTTTTACCAAAACAACACTCTAGATAAGGCAAAAGATAATCCAGGAATTCAGAAAGAGGCTCATGGTGGATCTGGAGAGGCTGTAGGCTTCACAAGACATCAATTTGTAACAGACTACACAACTACACTAGGCCTAATTATATAATAATAAAAGTAAAATGATTGAGCCAAAAAGCAAAACACAATAATAATAATAATAATAGTGTATGTCAGTTAGAAAGATACAGACAAAAACCTTTTTTGCTCAATAGCAGCAAACATTCCAAATAATGCAATGGTGCAGATAACAAAGTCTTTATTATGCTCACTCAACAAGTGAGAAGTACAATGGTATGGGTTAGATCCAATCTGTTACAATGGCCTTATTAAACTCTGGAACCTCAAACTAAAAGAGTATCTGTGGTAAAGCTTTAAGAAGTCTGCCTACACTCTCCTATTTGCAAGCAGCTGAAATATTCTGCAAAACAAATAGGGAATATTTCTCGTTCCTGCATTTGCAAAGCTGCTAGAAACAGAATTAAACATGCAGCCAAAGTTAGTTACTCATATACTGACTCATATAGTCTTAATATATATATATGTTTTTCTGAATTTTTTCTTTAAAAGTAAATATGACTATAAACTTTGGGTTCCACTTTACTAGTCACTGCTAAACATTAAGATTAAACAAAAATTGTTACGTAATTGTCCAGATAAACTGATAAATGAAGTAAACCTGTATTGATATTCTAATTATGTTATTACAAGCGATGATATTTTTTATTATGCAAGCCAAACACTCATATTATACTGTGAATAACTTTTTTTTGCCAATTAAAAGTAAAATCAACAGCTTCAGCACAACAAATCCTAACAAATTTCCATCTTGACTTAACCTGACAGACCCGACCACTTCTTTATCATAATTAGCTAGAAAAAATCAATGGAAGCTGTGGTTTGGGTGTTTACCAGGTTATCCTGATGGGAACACAAGTGAGGTAAGGCGGATGCTTTGCCTAAGACTGGCTCAATTCTTTCTTATCCAGTTGGCTAATTGTTCTACGTGTCTCGGCGAGGCATCTGTGGGAAATGCAAAACAACCCAGCTCCCTCGCCACCTCGCTGTTCATGTCAAGGTCAGGGACGATTACAAGATCGTTTGTATTCTCCAAGTATGAGAGATTAAATGCTTAGCAACACCCATACATTGACAGTAACCCGCCAGTGCTCGCTTCCTCTTCCTTGTCTCTCTTTTTCCCTCTCAGCATCTTCCTTATTCCTGTTGACCTTTTCCATTTTGTTCAGAAGAGAGAACATGGACAGCAGCTACTCAAAAACAACAGTAGTAAAACTGCATAAAAGCTACATTTACAAAAGCAAAGCTGTTTGACATTTTGCTAAGTCTTTATGGCTGAATTTATGTGCTCCCTAACTCCTTTGTCTCACATTCTCTTCACAAAATGCTGTTTGCAGTTGTGGCTTGCTTAAGAGGCTGTAAGGGGCGTCTGATAATCCTCCCTGTCTAAGCTGTTGGAACAATGCTTTCAATGGATAAGGCATTCACTATTGCCAGGACAATGCCAGGATGACCAGTTTCAATCCATGTCTCCTGTTACTCTATTACATTCATTTTCATTCTCCCTCTAGTGTCTTTTGTCTTCTGTAGGTCACTCAGCATCTCCATTTTCTGATATTTTTTTTTATTTTTTTTTTTAGGCCAGCTAAATATGCATATTTAAAACGATAACAGAATCTCAGTCCTTAACCATGGAATTACAGCTACTGTATGGTTCAAAGTTTTCAAATAATCATCAGACAAACATTTCTAACAGAATTGGTATGCATAGTTTTAAATCTGTTTTTGATTCTCTAATCAACTTGAAGTCTAAATTATCTATAAAAAGATAAAATGCAAATGTTTAGTATAACGTTCCTCAGCAGGTTTAACCTTGACCAAACGCAATTAAACGCAACAACCAAAAACAATTCATTTTGTTTTTTAATAGTGCCCTGCAAAAGTGTTGTTTTTTAAGTTTCTGATCCCTTTTACTCAACGGGACAAAGGCATGCGATTCACTAATTATACAATCTCACTAATTATAGACTGAAATCACATTTACCTGGCTGATGTCTGACTCTGCCTGGAGCGTTTTCTCTCCAAGCTAAGAAAATCCAGTAGGTGCTATCAAAAATCTTTTAGTGTTTCACTGTGAAATTTACAATGTTTTTCTGTTTCTTCCAGGTGAACTTGCTGGATTCAACAAAAGCAATGATGTGTTTATTTAACAATCTTTGCAGGGAACATGTGAAAGGCATATGACTCCTCTATATGTGTTTCTCTGTCTGAGCAGAGCTCAGGATGCCTGCAGATCCTACAGATG